AACTTTCATTTACTTCAATTTCAAAATAAATATTCAATATTCATACCTTCATTACTAATTGTTCTTTGTTACACTCACATCATGTATGACATCGTTATCTCCTTTTTTTTTAAATTTTGCTTTTAAAATGTTATATTTTGATAACAGGGATGTTTAAAAAATAACTTTAGACTGTCCTTCAGTCCGTCTGTCTGTCTGTTCACTGTGCTTACTTTTAAAGAACTTTTTCAACAAATTTACTTAAAATAGAAACATAAGTGAATGGCCAATGGCCCTTCAGAATGTTGCTTGGGCTCTTACCGGTAGGGGACTTATGGATTGCTTGCAATACTATGATAATTGCTTGTTGACACATGTATTTCATATTCGGTAAGAAGATTACTTACATGGTATTCTTCCTTTTGATTTAGGTAGTGGTCAGCGGGTCATGGATGCCAAAAGTAGATTTCTACATATTTGCTTCCACTGCCTCCATTTGTTGACTTATCTTTTTATATTTGGTAGGATGATAACTTGCATGATCGTCTTCCTTTGGTCAGTTGGGTCTACATGGCCAATGCTAAAAAAAGTTTTAACACTTTTGTCCATATAGGCTTTATTTATGGACAGATGTCTTTCATATTTGGTAGGAATATAATTTGCATGTTATTCTTCCTTTCGATTGAGTTAGGGGTCAGTGGGTCTTGGTTATGATTCCAATAATAGATTTCTACACATTTTCTTAAACAGCCTTTCGTTTTTGACTGATATTTTTCATATTTGAAAGGATGATAACTTGCATCATTGGATTGAGATAGGGGTCAGTTGGGTCAAGGTCCCCAGTGTTTACAAGGAACATACCGAATGTGGTCCTTTAAGTTTGGATGGAGTTTGTGGTCACTGGGTTCAAAGTCTTGCATTATATAAACTTGATAAATTAATATTTTTAAACTTCATCATAAGTCATAGCAATGACTTACCAACTTATATTTTTCACAATTACAAAACGCCATGATTCTGTCAAGTTATATTACTGTGTTTACAATTATTTTGGCAACTTTTCTGTCCTTAACTGAGTGAATGGGTAAACATCAATTTTGTTTTTAAATATTGTCAATGGCAAGAATCTAAGGAGGGAGCATTTGTGTTAAACAAACATGTCTTTGTTTTCAGTCTTTGAATACATTGAAATACGAACTTTCGTTTAAATTTTTTTGCACATATACTTTAAATGTTACTAAATATATTATAATGTACAAGTGAGTGAATGGCTTTTTAAAGTCTTAGGACAAAACATAGAATCTACCTTGTGGCCTTGAAATGTCCTTTTGAATCCTAACCCGAAGTGAAAACATGTTATCAACAATATCCGGATCTAAAACCAGCATGAGCCTCGTCAATAATATGAAAATGGTTTGTCCATTTATCTAACATTTCCTTAATAATGTATGAAAATATTTTTTAAAATACATCCGTTTATGAAATTCCTCTATGGTTAGGTGGATGATTTCCATTACCTGATTTATACAGAGGAACCATGATGCTTTGACACCATGCGTCTGGGAAATTTATCAGGATTTTATTACATAATCTACACAAAAAAGATATACTATGACAAGAAATCTTATAGAACTCTGCGCCTATACCGTCTTCACCTTGATATTTGACCGACTTTATTTTTAGAATTGACTTTGTTATTTCTTCAACTGTAAAAAATAATGCATAAGAATAAATATGTTAGTTCATCTATTTAATCAACAAGGGAAATTTGATTTTCCTGAAATATTAACTGTGGTCAAAAAAATTTAGCCAGACGTTTGGTATTATTTATGACGTCATTGTTTTTTGTATCGTTTTTTACTACGGATCAAAATTCTTGAATTTAAAAGCTGATTTCTGTTTTCAGATATATTAATTAGTTTTTTTACGACAGATATTCTTGGAATGCCTCTTAGAAACTATATATTAATCATAGTCACGAACATTGTATGTTAACCTATATTGACCTAATAAATTTTTTTTATGTTCTTCACTTTGTTGACACTCCATTTACTATGTGTATGTTGTAAATATAATTCAACTAAAAATTTACCAGAATTATTTTATCTAGAATTATCGTTTTTGCTTCTCTGTAAATCAAAACAATCCGACTCACAGTTCATTGCTATCAAAAAGGAATTTAATCTAGGAAAGCTACTGTTCTGGTATTAAAATCGCCAGTAATAATAAGTTTATCATAGTTCATCGATGCATAGCGTCCGTTTTCTCTAGCAGTTACTAGGCCAGGCGTTTACAGTCCGTGAAATGTCACAGTCCGTGAAATGTCACATTCCGTAAAGCTCCATGATTCTTATATAAATCCTTCAATAAATTTTATGCGTGCATTGTTCCTTCTAGAATAGTCTTCAAATTTGTCCGTTTTCTTCTTGATTATATTTTATTCTCTCTCTTTTTTTTAATGATTCATTTTCAACTTTAAAGTGATTACATTCATATTGATATCGTTTTTGATTGTTAATAGAAGAAAGATCATTTCATACCTCTGATATCATGTCCCGTAAATATTTAAGTACCTCTGCACTATTACATGCATTATTACTGGTTGGGGTTCGAGGTTCAGATGGTGATGGTTTCTCGTTTAAAAGAAGGTGATATTTGAGGAAATGAAAGGTGTGTGTCTGATCCTCAAGCGATCGATGATCACTGCTTCTACCAGTTCCTTTGACCAGGATTCTCTTCTATATCACTGCATACAACTAGTAGTAAGAAAATCAGCACACCTGTCCTTAAACTTAAGGTTACAGTTAAAGATCATATTTTATATCCATGTATCACTATTCAAAATTTATATGGCATATAAAACGTACCAATGCGAACAGGATAGACATTTATTTCTACCCACATTACGATATTTCTATTTATTTTCGACCGAGTAGGAAAAACACGCCCGCCATAACCAATATCATGTGAATAAACGCATAACAATTGTCTCAATAAGCAAATGACAAGTTTCTGAAGGTTCACAAATTACTGTATAGTTCAGCAACGAATTGTATAAAACGAACAAACGGCTTCTAAAAACAGTTGTATTTTTTCAGATCTAGAAAATGCACGTTGACTTAATATCAAAGTGAAAACAGTTCTGAAGTGTTGATTGTGGATTAGAATTAAGAAATTTACTTTCATTTGCCCAAGATAACTTTTTGGGGATTCTTAATTCTTATTATTTTCAATAATGATAACAACAGGAAAGTACTGTTACTCTGTTACATTTTGTATGCTAGTGTGTCGTTTTGTCACGAAATAATTTCTTTATCGGTTTTAACAAAGCACAAAGCGAATAATTGTTAAATAAGTAAAAACTGATAAACATTACATAATTCAAGATAGTGCTAAGAGGGTACCCGTAATTTTTAAAGCAATGGAACAGAGGTAACCTATGATAGGAAAAAAAAACAAAAAAATAACAATAACACTTGCCGCTTCGGAAACGAAAGTGGGCTATGTAAAATCAGCTGTTAATTCTAAATACATTTTTACTAATTATGAAGACAACAAAAAAACAAGTATTAGCATTTCTAAAAACGCAAGGAATCGCCGTTAAGCTGAATATTCGATTTTTATGGATAACACCCATCTACCTACCGGATAATCTTTACGGCAAAGAGTTCACTATTTTTTAACAAGGGCGACACAAAATAGTTTTCTTCAAATGTAAAATTAACTGTTTGTGCTTAACAAGGGCGACGCAAAATAGTTTTCTTGAAATGTAAATTTAACTGTTTGTGCTTTAAAATAGGTGTATATTTTTAGTTAGATGATATTTTTCATATGTACATTAACTTTACGTTATGTAACCCATATAAATCAATTTTATTTTAATTTGAATAAACTCAAAACTCAACGCGAATGAATACCACACGGCAATAGCGCCATATTTTAGTCAAATTTGAAATGAAAGGCAGAGAACGTGGGTATGACTAAAATACGCAACGAAGATTTTTGGCGTAACCGGTACAACGGACACATGTTTAGCACAACAGGCACAATATGCGCTTTTGTATGAATATAATAAAGATATGAGTAATGAAACAGATAAATTGAGTGAAAAATGTAACTTTATTTTAAAATGTATCGCAAATAGTTGCAAATTTTTATATTTTGTTTTAAACTATTCTATGCTTTTAAAACGGCCGCGAAATGGACATATTCTAAGTGTAACAGAGATTGTTGTCTATATAGGGAACAATTTATGGTTATAATAACAATTATCAAACTAAAATAAATTATATTTATTAAGTGTAGTATCAACAAAAAAGTTTGTTGTAAATTTCAATAGGATTCTTTTTTTATTTTAATGTTTTGGAAGGTTACATGCCAGCGAAATGGACATACGACATATTTTCAGCGGAACGAAGATAATTTTGTATAAAGGGCACAATGAATGTTTACCCCGCAAGAGCCAACACTCTGGTGTCGGACTTCGTTCATGAATATAATATTTCAGTTCTATATATAGGTACACGACAAAACGGCGGATGGTGTGCCTCGTAGGCGCCTCTCTTTTAAGTTTTTTTTCGTTCATTTTGTTTATTAGATATGTGGTATTAGATTTTCCATTCTGATCGACTAATGGCAGGCAATGTACGGGTAGAATTGATAAAATTATGTTCGTGTTTATGTAGCCGTTTGGGAACAGCGATAATGAATACTATGTCATGTTAATTGTCAGATGTGTACGTATCCAAACCACTTGTTCATTTATGCACTGATAAAATTCCGAGGAGATAGGCATGGCGAAATTGAGGAGTTGTACTGTAGTACCTAAAAAAAGGACATAATACATATATTTTTTTCCTCTGTATGTAAATAACATCTTCCGATATTTGATTATTTTAAGATTAGAAGATGTTAACACTTCAGCCGTGGTCTCTTTTTGAACATTCCCCGTTTGGTAAATCGGACTGTTAATGGCAATATAACTGCATTGTTTTTTACGCAGTGTTGATTGATACTTTCAGATCGGAAATACGATGGCTACAAGCTTATTCTATTGCATTTGATGCAGTTAAAGAAACAAGGTTTACAAACAGAACTTTAAAAGTCATGTATACCTCTCACATATTCCTCCACTGTGCTTCAATATACAAAAACATCTGTCGACATTCTGATTATGGAGAACAAAAGATCGAAGCCATAGAAAAGAAGCATACAGAAGTAAGAACGCAAGTGATAAACTGGCTCATGCTTTATGAATACGATAAATGGGCAGAACGAATGGCTGAACGAATGAAAGTAATATATTTACTATTATATTACAATATTTTTATCTCCCATACTCGATGACATCACGTATTTTTTAAACTGTAAGAAACTAGAGCTATTTTCATAATAAAGTTGTCACACTGTAATTAAACTATATTTGAATGGCATGAGAATGCAATTTAAATTTGAATTGATATTTCAGTAGAACACTCCATATAGTTGTTAAAAATTTAATTTCGACATGATTAATGCAGTGATATAAAGTTTGCATGCTTCTTGTAATAATAAGCATTAGAGACGACATGGTTATATATTCCAATGTACATTTTGACTTGATATTAAATCTTGAATTAATGATTTCATGTAGAAAACGCCTGTCGTTCACTTACGTATTTTACAAGGGTAAGGATGCATCGAATTATTAAAAAATGTGTTTGCTAAACATATTTGATCAAATTATACTTCTCTTATTTTATCAAGTTGAGCTATTGTGATACCCCGTGTTCGGCGTCTGTCATATGTCGTTAACATTTTTTATTTAAACAATATCTCCAAAACCCCTCCACCAAAAGTGACGAAATGAGACAGGGGTCATCCTCTGATAGTCCAGTCCCCTTCAAATGCTCATTTGGTTCTGGTCTGCTGAATAAGATGGCTGCCAACACTCAAAGTAGAAAAACCTTTATATTAATCAATATCACATCCCTAACTATTTGGTAGATCGTGATGAAACTTTACAGAAAATGTCAAAAGGTTGTCCTTTACAAAAATGCTCAAATGATTGCAGCTTGTTGAACAATGTATAAACCAGAACTAAAAGTAGAAAAAACTGTTAAATGACATCTCATTCTGATCTTCAGTCACTAAATATATTTGATGAAACTTTACAAAATTGATTATTTGACAGTCCTTAACTTAAGGGTTTCTTTCTCGATCTGCTGAACATGATGGCTACAAGAGCTTAATATAGAACATTTGTAAACGATATCTCATTCTTAACTGTATACAGGACTGGTCCTTAGATGGACCTTTATAGCTTTTGCTCAAATGGTTCATGGTTTTAAGATGGCCAACTGTATTGAAAAAGTCAAGTAGTCTTTTAAGACATGATATCTTGTTCTTTTCCATATTCTTATACACCATGGCCGTCTTGTTTGTTTATATTCTCGTTAAATGATGATATAACAATACTAATTGCAGTACTTAATTCATAACTTCTGATACAAAGTATCCCTTACAGGTTTGGAATTATGTTTTCGTAGAGGAACTACAAAATGAAGATGTAAAGCATTGCTGGAATACAGATATGTCAATGACCTTAAGTAACAGAATTCAGGTAAAACGCCAACAACATATACGCCTTTATATGTTTGTTAACGGGCTGGGTTTGTGGGCATACGTGTGTGCGAATTACGTTAGATTGGGTGCTATTGTATTCTAATTAGTAGTAGATAGATGGACTGAAAGATCGATTGATAGGCTAATGTATGTATGTATTCATGCGTGCCTGCGTGAGTGCGTGCGTATGTGTGTATGTATGTATATGTATGTAATGTTCTGATCTGGAATGAAATATTATTTCTCCTGTCATATCTGTATACATAACTGTTATTTAAGCACAGGAATTTTTAGTGTTTATTGAAGTGTGATTTATGAAAACAACACTGTATTTACTTAAAATAGTATACGATTCGTGTGTTGAGTATACTTAATCATTTTTCGTTTTCGCTTTACATTTTAAAGAACATACTACAAAAGGACGTTACTTCTGCTTTCATGCACAACTTCTCAAAAAACATAGATGCATACAGCAAACCGATGAAAGACTGCCTGAACGAACTTGCTTTGAAGGTTTGTGAAAGTATAATTGTTAATTTCAACGTGCTCATAGGCAATCTTTTTAATGGCAGTGTGTCTGTCATTCGTCGTCTGTCGTTATCTACAATTTCAAAATGACCATATGTAAGTGGTTGTTTGAAATATAACTCTCTCCAGGCTGCTCAGTTTATATACGCAAACGACCGTTCATATAAGGTCATATAACATGTCAAAATTCTTTATAACTTATAATATAAATCATGCTCCTTAGGTCAAATTTGAACCGTTCTGGGGTCACTGTTTTCACATAGACTTGTAACAGAAAAAAAGCTATAAGGTTAGTTACTCCAATACTACTACTAGTAGTAACATGTAGCATTCCGTTATGTGGTCATGTAAGGTAACCCCGCCCTTTGAGAAAAATGGTAAACATAGATTTCTAAAGTAAAATGATTGAATGTTTTTATACCCCCGAAACGAAGTGGGCGTATATAGGAATCTGGAAACAAAGTGATCCCTCGGAAGCATTAATCACAACAAAATTACAAGAGAATTGCAGACTCGGTTTGATTCAGTCTGTACATGAGGGATAATGAAAATGTGCAACATCCCTCACGCCCCCTAGCACCGGCTTGAGCGGTACTCAATTCTCAACACAATAGTGCTGGCATCAATGATCCCGAAGGACCAGAAAAATATAACAACACTGAAGTGAAGTACGGGGCAACTTTTTACAGCTGCCACACAGCACTTGACACCTGCTGTTGTGAAGTATAAAAATCTGGAAACAAAGTGATCCCTCGGAAGCATTAATCACAACAAAATAACAAGAGAATTGCAGACTCGGTTTGATTGAGTCTGTACATGAGGGATTATGAAAATGTGCAACATCCTGGTGTCACCTGGTGGTCGGTCGGTCGGTCCAGCGGTCGTTGCATTTTCCTTGTCCGGAGCATAACTTGAAGACTAATGATTGGAATTCAATACAACTTTATACAATGATCAAGCACATTGAGAAGAAGTGCAGTGCACAATAACCATAACTCTATCTTGACTACTTACAGAGTTATTGCCTTTTGCTACTTTTCATTGTCCGGAAAATAACTTGAAAACTATTGTTTGGAATTTAAAACAACTTAATACAATCATCAAGCACATAAAGAGGAAGTGCAGTGCACATGAACCATAACTCTATCTTGACTGATTACAGAGTTATTGTCCTTTGATTCTTTGCCTTGTCCAGAGCATAACTTGAAAAGTACTGGTTGGAATTCAAAACAACTTCATACAATGGTCAAGCACAATAAGAGAAAGTGCCGTGCACAAGAACCATAGCTCTGTCCAGAGTAATTATAGAGTTATTGCCCATTGTTACTTTTCCATTGCTTTTTTCTTGTCCAGTGCATAACTTTAAAACTAGTTGTTGGAATTCAATACAACTTCATACAGTGGTCAAGGGCAATGAGAGGAAGTGCAATGTATAATAACCATAACTCCATCTTCAGTATTTGTAGAGTTATTGCCCTTTGTTCATTTTCCTTGTCCGGTGCATAACTTAAAAACTAATGTTTAGAATTCAATGCAACTTCATACAATGGTCAAGCTTTTTCTGAACTTATTACAGAGTAGTTCAATAAAACTTCATCAATGGTCAACCACAATAAAAGGAAATGCAACATAGAAGAACCACAACTATCTTTAATTGCCCACAACCATAACTATATTTTAATTCTTTTGCAAGGTATTCTGTTACTTGTAACTTCCTCATTTCCGAAGCAGTCTTAGGAGGGGGGGGGTATTAATCACATTTAGCGATAGTTCTAGTTTTTTTCAGAAACAGAAATGTCCAAAACTTTAATATTTTGCCTGTTGGGTCTTTGGGTCTTTTACAAAAGTTATTCAAATCATGTCCCGTTGTCAAAATTTGTCCCTTACCTTGGCTCAAAGTAAATATGCCTGTTGGATCAAAACCTGGCCGCACCTTGATGGTCTCTTAATAAAAAATAGACTTATAACGTAAAATGTCTGTAATCACCACAACTTGTAACAAAATGCCCATAGTTTAGTTATTTGGAATGTAGTATCACCTTCTGATGGTGTACAAAATTTAAATTAATCATACCCAGGAGGATCAGTATTTGTCATCTTATTTGGCCTATCCTAGGGATCTCTTGATTTATAAACAGTTACAAAGAAAAACACAAAAATATTTAAATTCCTTTAAGAAAAACAATAACCCCACAGCTTAGATATCTTGAATAACACATCTCTTTGTGAACCTTTACGAATGTTATCCATATCGTGTCGTGGGGACAAAATGACCTGCCCTTGGAGTTTCACAGTTAATATTGACTCACAATTTAAAAACATGTATGTCTTTACATTGAAGGTTCCATGATAACCGCCATATGAACACATCTGCGGATGTTTCAAAATTCTACATTTTACCAGTTCATGTTAAATGTTGAATTCTGCTAAGCCGGTGCTAGGGGGCGTGGACGGTAACTTGCACTTTCCAGTACCGTCCATGAACAGGTTCAATCAAACCGAGCCTGCAACATTTTCAATTTTGCCGTGTTGGGCTTTCTTTAGGGATTCTGTATTTATCTATTTTATGATCACATCCGTGTTATTTGTGCCGTGTGGCGGCTGTAAAAAGTTTCCTCGTACATTTAATCAATGATGTTATATTTTCGATCCTTGAAGATCGTTCAGCACGACATTATTGTTGTGCTTGTGGTATTTTTAGTTTCAACTTTTTGGCACTTTCTAGTTGGGTGGTTCCAATATTCCTACTTGAATAATGTTGAATCACCCTTAGGATATGTTGCCTGCTTTTTAAATTTGTATTTTGACGTCCTATCTGTGATACGCAGGCTTCATTACCTCAGATCCCCTTTCCAAATTCCATTTTATTTAGTTCCGCCCATTGTTTTCTCGTTTAGGGCACACGCATTTTTTTACTTGGGGACCATATGCCGCTTTTCATGGAATGGCACTACCGTGTCACATTGAAGATTCCATGATAACCGCCATATGAACACATCTGCGGATGTTTCAAAATTCTAAATTTTACCAGTTCATGTTAAATGTTGAATTCTGCTAAGCCGGTACTAGGGGGCGTGGACGGTAACTTGCACTTTCCAGTACCGTCCATGAACAGGTTCAATCAAACCGAGCCTGCAACATTTTCAATTTTGCCGTGTTGGGCTTTCTTTAGGGATTCTGTATTTATCTATTTTACAAAAATTCACCGAAACTAAAATACAGAGGAGATAATTATTTGGCAGTTAGAATCACTTTATGGTCCAATCTAAGGGTCATTTTGTTTAGATGTTTCCATAAAAAACAGAATAGAACACAATTAAGCCGTCTTTTGTGAAACAACAATACCCAAAGCTTTGATATTTGTATGCAATATTTCCAAGAGGACAATTCTTCAAATGTTTTTAAAGTCGAAGATGACAAGCTAGTGTGACCTTATAACTATCTTTTGCATCGAAAAAGTGTGTTTTCTAGTAATGTATTTCAGAGCAATCATAACATACTTGTTTACAATCTTTGTCGATATTAAACAACAATATTTGTAGCCTTTATAAAACTTGCATAAAAATCGATCTTAGAATATAGCAGTTAGTCAATTTCTTTTAGGCCATTGGATCCGGTAGTGACTTAGAGTTCATATCCCTTGGAAATACCGAAACAAAAAAGTTTTCTGCACATATATCAGAAATGTTTTTACGAGAATGGCGCAAGGTGAAAGTGGATGGTGAAGATGTGAAGGAAACGCAAATTTTAAAAATGGTTTTCACGTGGTTACCATTTAAACAGTTTTTGAAAAGTTTATGTAAGAAAGTTTTAATGCGCACATTAAGACACTCAATGTCAATATACATTTTAAAGAATAATGATATTTTACAAAAATCCAACATTAAAATACTATTATATGATTAATTTCATATCGTGACGAATTTGACACCGATGATTTGAACATTTTGCTGGAAGATTAAAACACGGATATAATAATTAATACGAGTATAGCAACAAACACGTTTGTCTGAAATAAAGAAGAAAAAACAGTATATATAAAAATGCATAAATTCATTGTAATTTTTCCAGTATATATATATATACCTAACATAGAAAAACAAGTACACTTATACTATAATATTAGTTTTTTCTATTTGTAGAAATTGTCAAGGTAAATAATAATTTAAAATGTGGTTTCTTTAGATAAATACGAAAAATGTAGAAGTTGTCTTTCCGAAGAATGCCGGACAAATCTACAAGTTGCAGTGACTGTTTTAAGATCCCAAGCTGAGGCCATTATAGAAGGCAATGTCACGATAGGTATTCTTAGAATGATTCAAACAAACGAAAATACCTTTTGCGATATCATACGAGAAATTTATGCAGATGATGGTATTTTCTCTGTTCTTGTGAAAAAGGCAATAGGGATAAGAATAAAAGAAGTTGACGCATTTGAACTACAGGCTGACCAAATGAAGACACTACTAGATTTATGCTCACACTGCAGTTCAGGTAAAACCAAACCTAGATCCTGCAATTCACGATAAAAAAAATGTACTGTTAAAAATACTTAGCTGTAGATATATCTTTTCGCATCCAACATCGTCAATAACATTATGGTGTCATTTATTAAGTTTTCCGACATACGAGATTAAATTGAGGTTGTATACCTCACTTAAGTGAAATTATATATGTGTATAAAATTAAGCTCATAAACAATTTTCAAACATCGAAGAATATGTAAAACATGTACTGCAAATATTTGTACATATTATATGTAATCATTAAAATATATGTATTCATTTCTTTTTGAAATATTTGACTTAGACTTGATAGAAAAAAAAAATATTACCTCCCTTTATTTACATGAAATGCTAAATTTTATAAATGCTTTTTGGAACTTACAAAATTGATAAATCTTAATTTGACCATCATATTTATGATATAAAACCATAAAAAATTGTTGTACAGGATCTTTAAATGTTTGGGAACTCTCTTAATCTCTATTGAGAGGTGAATGACATATTATATTAGAATTTTATATCTACCTGGTATAGTCTATGATTTTGTTTATACAAAATGTAATTATAATACCTCCATTATCTTTGTATATCATTTTGGCCCGGTTGCCCAGGTGCAAACCTGGGTTATAGTATGGTGAATGTCGGGCTGCAGGCTGGCGGTGGTGGGCGTTTAGCGAACGGGGAATATTTTTGTAACAGTTTTCTCAGCAACTTTTTATCACAGCCTCTTGATATTTGTTATACCGCATTACTATGTGGTCCCATAACGTGGGATTTGATTTCTGGTTTGTCGCTTTTCCACTTCTTGTTTGCCGACTAAGTTAAATTTTCGACATTAATGGTCCATGAAAAGAAATTTTCGTAACAGTTTTCTCAGCAACCACTTATCAAAGCCTCTTGATATTTGGAATACAGAATAACTCGTCGTCCTATCACCTGGGATTTGATTTCAGGTATGTTGCTTATCCACTGTCTGTTTGCCAACTTAGTTAAATTTTTTACTTTAAAGTTCAATGGTAAGAAATATTCGTAACAGTTTTCTCAGTAACTACCAATCACAGCCTCTTGATATTTGGTATACAGCATAAACTCATTGTTTTATAACAAGGTTTTTGATTTCAGGTCTGTCGCTCATCCATTTTCTGTTTGCCGACTTGATTAAATTGTTGTCTTAAATGGTCAATGCCAGCAAAATTTTTGTAACAGTTTTCTCAGCAACTACTTATCACAGCCTCTTGATATTTTGTATACATCATTGACACATGGTTTCGTTGGATTCCATTTCAGATCTATCTCTTATCCACTTCCTGTTTATGGACTTAGTTAAATTTCCAACATCAATGGGTAGAAAATTTTAGTTACATGACACAGCCTCATGAAATTTTGTATACAAATGTAACCCGGCATTTTCTGTCTGACCCATTTTTTACAGTATGTGTAAATGACATACAGACAGTTCTTCAAAAACAAGTTGAAATGGAACAGTATCCTGTCTCGGAATTTTGCAAGACTAGTTGCATAGACTCAGAAACAAACGCAGATTGTTTTTACCCCGAAATTTGTGCTTTCGATATATCGGACACTGTGTATGGAATACTAGAAGAACTGAAAATGTATAAAGCTAGCTTTGTTTTTAATAAAATGTGGATTGATGGATGCAACGGCTTTCGTGAAGAAATTCATACTATTGATGACCTTGTACGACTATTGTGGTTTCCGATAAAAGAGAGGTGAGTTATATTTAGTTTTCATTTCATAAATATGTATTTGATAAATTGACTTTAAAAAAGGCAACAAAAGTGAACTCCCAGAAATGCTCACTTAAAACGACAAGAATGTACATCTTATACTAGTTTTGCCTTTGTGACTTCTAAAACGATTTATTGTTATATTTTAGCTCACCTGAGCACAACGTGCCTATGGTAGGCTATTGTGATCCCCATACGTCCATCGCCGTGTGTCCATGAGTCGTGCTTCGTCAACAATTGCTTTAAACAACAGCCCCTTTATGACTGTGTTTAAGCAAAGCACAGGAATCATCGTTGGACGGTCCCCTTTAAAAATTGCTCAAATTATTCGGATCTATTGCATGAGAAGGTCACGGGGCCAGAAAAGGAGTTTCAAAAGTGCAAATTTGAAAACTCTTCTCTTCTTGCCTTACAGTACAAGGCCCAGAGCTATGATATGTAATAGAAAGAGCACCGAAACACGAGGCTATCTGATTTGTACGAGGGGGGCCTAGCCCCCGAGTATTAATCAGATTGCCGAGTGTTTTGGTGTTCTTTCTCTTTTGTATCATAGTCAAACATAAATGCAGGTTCCCTGTTGTCAAAATATGAAACCCCGGCAAAAATGAACCAATGAACGAACATCTGAATATGACATTTCTGTCGCTTTCCCTTTCTCTGCCGTCACAATATGTAAACCCCAGCAAAAATGAGCCAATCAATGGGCATGCTCTGGAGTGCGGGTAACTAATACCCGCACTCCAGTTAACGCACTGTGCATGTATATGTAGACGATTTAACCCTGACACATTTTCAACAGAAAGGTCTCCAAACTATGATACAATTGGTATATAATATCATCTGTAGGTCCTACCAAAGATGCTCAAATTTTATCGCATGTGTCAAAATTTGTCCCGCCCGGGGATGGGGAATCATAGGTTTTCCTAATATGCATATAGTAAAAACTTGAAAAATCTTCATCTCAGAAAATGCAACAAGTTAGATATTTGGCATGAATGCTCCAGTGGCATTTACATACGGCACTGGCAATGGGATCGGACATTATGACTGTGATAATAGCCCAAACGCTTGCGAGATGCTTAGATGTATAACCACTGACGTCGCTGTTTGTGAATGATCTTAACTTTAACTGGACTGGACAAATATTGCTCACAAGAAATTGCCTTTCATCTAATAAGTACCGACATGTTAAAATATTCAATTATTACAGTCATGAGCCAGTGTTGTCTGCAAATGCTTAATGCCGCCGGAGGATCTGGCATAATGAAAGGGAGACAACTCATATTGAAATGTCTTTTAAGCATGTGTACATGTTATGCAATAATTCTTTAAATGATTAAATAGTTTGGAGATTGGTAAAAGTCATGACCTGTAACTAGAGAAATGTTTGCTTTTCAGAGATATTTATGAAATAATTTTATGTTTTGCCCTCTAACAAGAGAGATGTTCAGCTTTTCAGGGATATTTATGAAATCATTTAAGCATTTTTATTTACACCATATATTTAATGATGATTTTAAATTGTAAATGTTTTTTATATTTTCAGAAAAGGGTAATGCTTAATAGAGATAAATAACTGTAACAGTATTTAAAAGTTAAATACGGCTATATAATACAATAAATACTTCATTTTTGTCCAGCAAGAATACTTTAATTAGGTCACCTGAGAACATTGTCCTCAAAGTGAGCTTTTGTTGTAGCCCATTGTCCATCCTCCGTCCGTGTGTGCGTGCGTCAACAATTTCTTTAAACAATTTCTCCTCCTTAACCACTTGGCCAAATCCCTTGCAGGGATGTTCCTTGCATGAAGTTCTACCAAAAACGATCGAATAATTAAATTCCATGGCAACCGAAACATTTTTTTTTCAAATTATTTTTAAAAAAAATCTTTCTGTAAAAAAACTAAAGAGCTAAAGCTTAGATATTTGGCATTTAACATCTTCTAGTAGATGTCTACAAAGTTAGTTCAAATAAAAGCCCTAGGGTCAAAATTTGCCTCGCCCAAGAGGGTCATTGATTGTCCTTATTAGCTCACCAGAGCCGAAGGCTCAGGGTGAGCTATTAGTATCAAACGGGGATACTCCGGCGTCCGTCGTCCGTCGTCCATTGTCATGCGTCAACAATCGTCTTCTTCTCTGAAACTGCTAGACAGATCTACTTCAAATTTGGTCTGTAGCATCCTTGTGACAGTCACACTTGAATTTGCTTATGCCATTTCAACTGGCCCCTTTTAGGGGTCAACAGAGCTAAAAATAGGAAAACCTTTAAACATCTTCTTCTACAGAACTAATCGATGGATGATCACCAAACTTTGTCTGTAGCATTTTTGGGTAGTCGTTTATCAAGTTTGCTCATATTAATTTGATTGGCCCCTTTTATGTGTCTCTTGGGCTAAAAATAGAAAAAACCTTTAAACATCTTCTTCTAAAGAACTAATGGATGGATTATCACCAAACTTTGTCTGTATCATTCTTGGGTAGTCTTTTATCAAGTTTGCTCATATCAATTTGATTGGCCCCTTTTAGGGGTTGCTAAATCTAAAAATAGAAATTACTTTAAACATCTATATCTAGAGAACTAATTGATGGATGATCATCAAACTTTGTCTGTAGCATTCTTGGGTAGTCTTTTATCAAATTTGCTCATATTAATTTGATTGGCCCCTTTTAGGGGTCTCTAGACCTAAAATAGAAAATCATTTAGACATCTTCTTCTACAGAACCAATTGATGGATGATCAGACAACTTTGTCTGTAGCAATCTTAGGTAGTCTTTTATCAAATTTGCTCACATTAATTTGATAGGCCTCTTTTAGGGGTCAATGGAGCTAAAAATGATATAAACCTTTAGACAGCTTTTTCTACAGAACTTATTGATGGAAGATCACCGACTTTTGTTATTAGCATTCTTATAGTAATCTCTTATAAAAATTGCTGATATTTATTTGATTGGCCCCTTTTAGGGACTGCTAAAGCTAAGATACCCCAGACCATGGCATTTCTTCAAATTATAGTTAAATGAAAGGGAAACAACTCATGCTGGAATTTCTTTCATAACATGTGAATGACCTGCTGTTTGCTGATGAAATTATTTGAGGTCATGACCTCTTATGAAATAACTTAAGTACATTATACAAGGTTTAAAAGGACTTTGTTAATAATCAAGCTTTATTTGGTTTCCATTCAATTAAAAAATCTCCCTCTTTTTGAAGTCAATTCCCTCTTGAAAAAAAGTTCACATGTATGTATATGTTTTGCATAAAAACAGATTGAATATCTTAATATCATGACCTGTTTGCTTTACAGAGATCTGAGGTCAATGTGCTTTGTCTAGAATTGCATCATTCTAAGGTTCATTTGTAGGTCAATCTAGAGAATTTTCCTCAAGGCCTAAAAGAATGTTTCATTTGTTTCTGGTAATTTTAGGTGATTGTTTTCCACAGTGTCTGTTGTTGGCGTCCGCGCCGAAGCGCAGCGCCCTTATGGAATGAAATCAGATTTAGTGAAAGGGCGACAGCAACTTCTCGAGCCTTTTAGTCGGTCATATAATAAAAGCCGATCATTCCGATCGGTATGAGGGTGCTTGATTATTATTTAGTAATCTTGAATGAAATGTCGCGATATGTTACAATAGGAGAGATTTACCAGTGGTCAATATTCTAAAAATAGAATTGCTGATAAGCACTGACCATAGCAACCGTTGCTGGTCATACATCCTCTTTGTACTACCTAGTCATTTTACATAAGAAAACTATGGTGTGTATGTCTATTAAGAAATAAATATGAGCTATGTTTCAATAAAGTAGAGGTTTTGATGCTAAAGCATCATTAGTCCCCGAATAGAAAAATGATTGTATTATCATAAATTCAAGAAAATATCAGTTAAATGGTTCATGAATAAAGAAAATATTAACAATATGTTGAGTAACTATTTATTTACAATAAAGACATATGTGAAACAAACTTGCTTAGAAATATTGTCAAGAAACTGTTATCATTTTTTAAATCAGCAAAAAATAACGTACACTTAATTCATCGTAAACTTAATTCATCGCGAATAAAACAGGTGATTGAAAATAATCAAAGTAAAGCATTAACATTAAGCTTGCAAAGTGACTGGGAAAATATGTTTAATTATTGTAAGAAACGATGCAATTCTATTGTACTTTTAAAGGTACTGACTACAAAATTATATAAACAAAACAATCTTTCTTATCTCATATTTCCTATTTATTTATTTTTTATTGAAAATAAATAAAACTGTAGGGAAAAGAAATCTTCAAACAATTATAAAAACTGTAGGCAAAAGAAATATTCGAACAAATATAAAGACATTGTTTAGATATTTGTAATAATATGTGTAAAAAAAGTTATAATTAGTTAACTACATCAAATATATAATGCCTAGCTTATAAGTATGATATAGTTTTAGAGGTGTACCAGTATTCTGAATTAAATTCACGGAGGTCATTATTATACATGTATCTACCTGATCCCAGATTTTTTTCCAACCACAGATGTGACACATGACTATTTTGAGTAATTATGTTGCCTTTTCTTTTTTATATTGGCTGCTGTAAACATGTTTAACTGGGGATTTTGTCAACTTTTTAAATAAATTAAATTTATCCCAAACATTTTCAAATATCACCTTTTGGTCAAACACCATTTTAACAGTCAATCTTTTGAAATATAAAGTCAATTCAGCTCAAATTGACTATGAAAATATGAGCATAATGTCACTTTAACTTGCTTAATACTTAAAACTGAACATGAACTAAGCATAAAGTTTTAAATTATATTTATGTTAACAACACTCAGTTTTGGGTCTTAAGCATACATTTAACAATGGCTAAAATAATTATAATACCTTGAATCATAAAACATATTTACATTGACAAGGTGAAACAAGGAACATCGCAATGCGATGCAACCAGGTTTTCAGCAAAATATTTCACAGAAGCTTTGTCATGAAGGGGCATTT